CCCAAAACCCCAAAACCCCAAAACCCCAAAACCCCAAAACCCCAAAACCCCTGAATGATTATAGAGAAAGTAAATCTGGAATAAACAGTTAATCATTAAGAAATTAAAAGTAAAACTTAATAAATAAACAAAAGTAAAGTAAATCTCCTTGTACTTATTGATAACCAATTCACTCAATGATAATAAATTACAATAATCCTTCCATCCTCCAAATGTGAACTTTTGCTTTTACCAAAAGGTATAAAGTTAAAGGTGAATAATCATATATTAAAGTTAATTAAAAAAATCACACCTGTCTAGAATATTGGCTCCACGCCAACACCTAGATTGAGTGGATGGACAATCATAGAGATACATTGGCAGACATTCATATACAATAGAAATCATATGATCTAGACTCTAATCATGATGGAGGCTATCATATTCAAATTCTTAGAGTGAGTGGCCTGGATTTCCTTGTCATTAGTTATATAGACCACATAGCAAGTATTGAGAGGAAAGCAAGACTTTCAAATCCCAGTAAAAGACTGATTTATTAGTATCCATTTGCTAAAGAGTTGCTTTCTTTATCTTAGTTATCAAGTATCATTCCGATCAGGATGGGGGATATCGAGTTTCCTAAATTTTATGCTGAATTTGATAGACCAACCCCAAATCCCTATCTTTCTTTATCTATGATCTCACTATGTATAAATTAATTCAGTATTTAGATTACTTGAGAGCAGCCCACATATTTGAGATGAATATGCCTAATCCCATTTCGTATAGTATCAGAGGGAATATCACATGCATACTCTTACTTGAATCTGGCAACAGGAATATGTAAAAGTGCTAGAATGTAAGCAATAGTGCTGCAATTGCCAGAGTCAGTATTCTTCTATCTAATAGGTCACTTAGGAATCCTAAGATCGGACATATTACAGTTGCAAATATTGCAATGTATCCCTAAAGTTAATATTAAAGTGTTTATAATCATACCATTATCTATCCAGCTTCTAAAATATCAAAGTTGAATCTTGTTCTCAGAATCATACTAACATTATTTTGATAGGGGCCAAAGGTACTATAAGACAAGAAGAACACTAGGCAGAAAACCCAAATTTTCATGTCTAGATCTTTAATTAGTTTGCAACTGATAAAACCTTTTTTGGCTGGAGTTTCAGCATTCATTTGAAGATTATTAAAGCTTGACACTCTTGATCTTTCTAATTCAACATGCTCCTCATTATATTTGTCGATTTTGGAGAACAACAAGGCAAACATGAAAGCTATTAATGTCAATAATACTCCAAAATTAAGACACTAAACAATACTTCCTCCACTTTACACCAAAATTTGAGGTGTAACTAGATTTGTTAGGCTGACTCCACCTTTTGCAAGAGTAATCATGATTCTAAAACAAATAGCGGGTAAATCTCTGATTTAAATTTGAATTTAAAGTGCGGGTAGTACTATGATTACTTACGCAAAAGCAAGTCCTATCTCTGCCTTTAAGAACCATTGATTGATGATGATAACTACTGCCATACTTAAGGCTTCAGAGCTTACACTATATTAAATCAGTTAGGAAACTGCTAAGCTATTTAAATTTTTGAATGTACCCATGGATGAGTCTTCCAATTAAAGCCAAGTTATAGGAACTGACAATTGGACTAAGAGCAAAAAGAAGTTGTCCAATAAGAGTGGCAAGAGTATAGATTGTTGTAGCATTTCTTATTCCAATTCTATCCGTGAAGTATCCCATGAGCAAGGCTAGGAATATATTGGGAATCGAGTATATTGAGAACAACATTCCAAATTCTACATTAGTTATTTGGAATTCATCAATAATCTCCTTCTAAATACACCCAGGAGTGTTTGTCACAAAATACCTATTATCAATTACCAAGGAATAAAGTTATATTACGTTGCAAACTTAAGAAAACATACCAAACCCAGAACCAAGAACCTCTACCATCTTTGTCTCATATCAATGTAACTAGGGTCCTTAGTTTCTTGGCATAGATTTCCATTTTTCATGATGAATGGAGAATCGAGTTGTTCCTTCATGTCTTCTCGGCTTGAGTCCATTTTATTGTATTATAAAGTAGTATGATATGTGAAGAAACGATTAATAAATTTAAATTCCTAAGTCAAACGTATAAGTTTACTAATATTGATTTCATAATCACTTCCAGATATTCATTTTGATTGGCTAATTTATATTTAATGCAATCTTTTAAAAATCTTTTGAATTTTAGATAGATGGGGTTTTGGGGTTTTGGGGTTTTGGGG